ATCTCGCTCGCTCGCTCGACCGCAGTGTGTGCCTTGTGCTATTTATTAACCTTTTATTTAATGTTATTTGCTTAAGCGTTCCCAAACGACAACAACAACAGCCACACACACGGCAACTGATGACAGGCCATCGCCTTGCAATTACCCCACTTCCCCCTGCCAACAGCCGTCTCGCTCTTTGTGTCGCCGCACTGCTCGCACTTCAATTAGAGTGTGTGCGGCGGTGTTTGTGCATGTAATTAGGTGATTGTCAGTTGGGCTCAAATGTCGCGTTTTATTTATTTGCCTAGGTAAGAGTATAGAAAGGGGTTATATTCTACAGCGAACCGCAGAAGGTGCAACTAATTAAATATGCCTAGGAATTGTGCACATGCAAATAAGTTAAATAAGCTACACAATCAAAGCATGTCTGCTGGTGAAAATGATGTTCGGCAGGGCGGAACGTGCAAAACATCTCTTAAATGTTACTTTGTTTAATAGCTATTTAAATAATCTTCATTTGGCACTCGTTGCAGTTCATAATTACTCGTTTTCACATTAAATTGCTTTAAATATTCCGCCCGGTTTTTGTAAAACCACCTCTTCGATTTAGGCTGACAAATCAGTTGCCTCCCCTTGACATGTACGGTATTTGCTGCTTATTAATTTTCCTCCAAAACTTTTCCACTGCTAATTGGCTGTTACGCACCACCCCTCAGAAAGCCCCCCCTCTGAAAGCCCCAACAACCCCAATGGCATCTGCGAACCAAGCCCAATCGATTTCCATGGCGAGTTGAAAACCATTTAACTGTCAATTAAATACAATTTCCACATGCCTGTTATTGATTTTTCTCTCTAAACCAAACTGTCGACAAGTGGAACAGAGTTGGGAGTAGAGAAATGGGATAATGGAATGGGAGTTTGGCTGTCGACGGTGATGATGATGATGGTGGTGGTGGTGGTAATGTTGATTACAGCCGTCGTCACGTGTTAATTGCAATTAGAGCTGCACGCTCTCAAGCGAATAAATTATGCAAATTTCAATTGAGACAAGAAAATGGAATTCAATCAAAACAAAATCAAATCGAGTCACAACGCAACTCAATGCAAAATTGCACAAGCAGAATGGCGAATTATGAGTTACGAATTTGTGCAACCAATGGCAGCTATTTGTTGCGCGGCTTGTTTTATTGTTTGTTAACTTATGACACAGCCATGTCCATTGTTCGCCGAACGACATTAGACAAACTGGCCACAAAATCACAACAATTACGGTCTCCAATCCACATCCAATCCCCAGTCGCAACATAATAAATGCTACGATTCGATTAAAAGATCAGCTCGAATAGCAGCAACTACGAACGCAGACACAAAAAGCGGCCAAATCGCAGCGACAGAGTTGCTACTTTTTGGGAGCAGGTATAGCCAGATCTGCACAGACTACTCGAATCCAGTCAGATCTGTCGTTTAAACAGCTAGAGGGACAGCACCGCGATCCCAGGAGATTGACAAAAAGAGCCGCGAACCTAACGAGGGCCATCGATCCTGTTGGCGGGCCAGAAAGAGAGCACCAATCCGCGCTCCGTTCTGTTTCTGTCTCAGTTTCAGTTTCTGTTGCAGTTTCTGTTCTGATGTTGCTCGTTTGTAAGCTACACACATTTTTGCGCTTCGGCCGACAGCAGCAGGGCCTCAGAGATCAGGCCTCAACTGTGGTCCCCAGTCTTGGTCCCCAGCTCGGCTCACTTAGCTACTGCTAGCTGGCACAGGGCTGCATTCAAGGACTCCCAGTGGATGCTTGGCGTAATACTACTTCCTTGGAGATGCAAAGTCTTTTCGCACAAAATTAAATATTTTGTAGTTGACGGCTGCTGCAAAATTAGACTTATGTTATGTGATGTTAGTTAAGTTATGGCGCCCGAGCAGGGATCCTGAAAAGCTCCTTGCTTTCAATAATTCAAGAAACTATTCATTCTAAAGTGACGATTACAAATTAAAAGGAGGTTTCTGCTGCATCTAATGGTATTACAAACAGGAAGAACAGAAAGTTTAATAAGCTTATTAGTATAATTAACTTAAACCTGAAAAAGACATAATTGGCGCCCAAGCAGGGATTTTGAAAAGCTATTTCACGACACGTAGGACATCACAGTAAAAGTTTTCCTTTCTTTAAGATGTAAAGTAGTTCAAGGAACCTTCGGAGTGTTAAAGATGCTGAGGCACCGTTTTTTGTCGCCCCAACCTCCGTTGTGGCAAGTCCGCTCCCCTGCAGCCCCAATCTCGCTCTCTGTCTGCCTGGGTGAGCAGCTTCATTGGCGTTTCTTGCGATGCTGCTGCGCTTTGTTTAAATAAAAGCCTCTTTAAGTTTATCTATTGCCGCGCATCTAAATTGTGCGCCCCAGTGGGGAGCTGTTAGGGGCGGGCGGCGGAGGAGTGGCCCACCTCGCTCGCTCGCTCGCTGCGATTATGCTATTTGTTGTTGCTGCTGCTGGCGGAGCTGATGCTGCGGCGGGAAAGAGAGGCAGCTAGAGGTAGAGGTCTTGTAATGTTTTGCCGGCGCGCTTTGCTCTTTTGTTGTCGTTGTCGTTGTGTTGTCGCTGTGTTGTCGTTGTTACTTATTGCTTGCGTTGTAGGCTTCATGTTTTGATTGTATTTATTTTAGTTTGAGTAACTTTACTGCGAAGCTTTTTGTTGCTCTCGCTTGCCTTTGGTTTCCGTCCATTTCTGATGAAGATTTTCTGCGCGATTAACTAGCGAGATCGCCTTACGCTCCGCGGCGTCTTTTATGTGAAAAGCGTTTCGTGCGCGGCTTTAATCATGTCTCCTCTTCGGATGGAATCTGCAGTTAATGGCTGGGGTTCAGGGGAGCGAAGGGGGCGCGTATCAGTTGGCTTTTCAGACGTTTTGAGCAATTGCGTTTAATTTTATTCATAATTCGTGGTCTTGGGTTACCACAGTCAAACTTCTGTAACTCAAACGGCCATTTAGCGCATTTAAATTTGGAGCTACGATAGCAGTAAGTCACGCCAACAATGGTAATGATCAGTATGAGGTAATCTTTGGGTCTTTAGGCAAATAAATGTGGAGGGCTACGTGACAGAAGCTCGACTGTACGCCACTATTTGCTGTGCTCCCTAATCGCTGTGTATAATTGTTTCTTTTGTGGAGTGCTGGATATTAAACCTGATTAATTCGTTTGGCGGTGCTTATACAATCGCAGTGTCGGCATCAGGCACTGGCTGCTTTGTAATGGTGCAACACAGTTATTAAACTGGCTTGGATGGGTTTGCATTGTGGGGCGTGGCTCCAACGATCCGATTCGAAGCGATAATAACGCGCGGACAGCCAGAAAAACTCCATGATTCGGGCTTTATGGGTTCAACAGCAGCGATAAAAAGATCGCTGGAATTCCGATATTTTATGACCAATCTATCGGTGATAAGGTGGGAAAGGTGCAACTTTCATAGTCGATTTCAGATATGAAATATGATCCATTAACCGATTTCGATTGTGCCACTAAAGAGGTCCGCAGCATGATAATGCAAATGAATGCAGACATTCCTATACATCTGTTCGTGGACTACAACTAAGTTTTCTGATTTAATTAAAAGAGTGTTCGGCATGCCCTGCATAACCACACTTCAAGCGAGGCAAACCCGTTTTCACCCCACACATGCCACACACAAAAAATGTCACAAATACTTGAAAGGAAAGCTAAATACAGATTTATGAGCACAAAGCACTGCAACAATGCAATATGTTGGCCAATTAGACAAGCCCAAGCATACGTATGTCAAATTTTCACTGGCGGGAGAAGGGGCTACTCAAACTGGTCAGGAATGGAGGGTAATTGCTGTGGTACATAGACGAACTGACTTTTAAATTCCCCAAGTAATGGCTCTTGTAAGTAATGATGACTTTTATATTCCCAAAATAATTTCTCTTGTAAGTAATGATGTGCTCATCAAATATAAAAATTCCATGCTCAATGCTGGAGTTTTTTTTTTATAAATTACTGACTATCACTAACTACTTTATATCAGGTGAATCAAAGGTTTAATTTTTTTTGTTGATATCAGATATCAATTATAATTATTTGGCATTGCTTAGAAATTTTGAAATGCCGGGAAAAGCTGAAGTACTGACCATTGTCCCCCTTCAGCGCTTTTGAAACTACGCCCCTGATTAAGCATATGCAATTGCACACGTATTGGTATTCATTTACGCAGAACTATCATCAATGTTGTCCGATGGGATGTGTGAAGGCAAAACGACAACAAACAATGAAACGGCGACAAAAAAGCATCAAAAGCAATTATGAAATCACGGCAGATGTTGGGGCAACAAAAATTGTGGTGGTGATTTATAAAGCGCAGCTAACAACAACAATGACATCAAAAAGCGCAAACATTTTCGTTGTATCGGGGCAACAAGAACAATAAGTAAAAGGAAGCGAATGGGCGAAGGAGTGAAGGAGACGGGGAAGCTGTGGCATGTGTTGTATATAAACAGGCACACACTCCATATGTGTGTGGGTATATAATGCAGGACGGCGGATAGGATGCCAGCAAAAAAGGACTGCAGATGCCAGACCGCAAAGAGGAGCGAAGGAAATGGGGAGTGGAGTGGAGAAGTAGAAGGAGGAGAAGGAAAAGGAGAAGCAGGGCGAGGGCAGCCTACATAGAGTGAGATTTACGACTTAAATGCTGCAGCGCATAATCAAAACGACAAGGCGCAGATGGAAATGGAGTGGAGTTCTTATCCCTATTTTCCTTCCTTTCCTGCTTTTTCATTTTTTTTTCTCTTTGGGGCGACGACGCACTTAATTAACAAATATACAAACACTTAACATAACCTCAACTGACAGGCGACAGGCCGTGTGCGCGAGCGGGACAACTGTACGGCACGCCCCGCAGCCGCTGATTGGATGTTCGAAAAGCCAGAGCGGGACGGAGACTGCGAGAGAGCGTGTGCGAGAGAGAGTTCTCTTCTTGAGTCGGCTCTCAGCTGCAGCCGTCTCGCTTTGCTATTCAGTTCGCGAGAGCATCAGTTGGTCGGCGGTTCGTAACAGCGCACGTTACGTTTTTAACGGACGAGCGGATTAACGTCGGTATCGACAAGTTTATCACCCAAGCCAAAACCAATTGTCAATCGCAGACGATAGCGCGGCGCATTTGCCAATCGAAGTGATATCATTGGGCTGTGGTTAATGTTTTTAATGCTTTCTGGCCGCCCTGCAATGCCGTCGGCTTTTGGTCTCCGTGAACTTTCGAGCTGAAGACCTAAGCCCTCAAACTGATGTCCACCTTGGCCAGCAGTCGACCGCCCCCGCTCAAGCTGACTATTCCCTCCTTGGAGGAGGCTGAGGACCACGCGCAGGAGAGGAGAGCGGGCGGAGGTGGCCACGAAGTGGGGGAAATGCATCCGGATTGCTTGCCCCTACCGCTTGTCCAGCCGGGCAGCTCGCCGCAAGTGCGCGAGGAGGAGGAGGACGAGCAGACGGAGTGCGAGGAGCAGCTGAACATCGAGGATGAGGAGGCCGAGGAGGAGCACGATCTGGACCTGGAGGATCCAGCCAGCTGCTGCAGTGAGAACAGTGTGCTGAGCGTGGGCCAGGAGCAATCGGAGGCAGCACAGGCGGCGCTATCCGCTCAAGCTCAGGCCAGGCAGAGGCTTTTGATTAGCCAAATCTACCGACCGTCGGCATTCAGCAGCACCGCCGCCACCACTGTTCTGCCGCCCAGCGAAGGTCCACCCTTTTCGCCCGAGGATCTACTGCAACTGCCGCCCTCCACGGGTACCTTCCAGGAGGAGTTCCTGCGTAAGTCCCAGCTCTATGCCGAGGAGCTGATGAAGCAGCAGATGCATCTGATGGCCGCCGCCAGGGTGAATGCTCTTACGGCAGCGGCGGCGGGCAAACAGCTGCAAATGGCCATGGCGGCAGCGGCGGTGGCCACAGTGCCCAGCGGTCAGGATGCACTGGCTCAGCTGACGGCCACGGCACTGGGCCTGGGGCCAGGTGGAGCCGCGCATCCCCATCAGCAATTGCTGCTGCAAAGGGATCAGGTCCACCACCATCATCACATGCAGAATCACCTGAATAACAATGAAAATCTGCACGAACGCGCACTCAAATTCAGCATAGACAATATTCTGAAGGCGGACTTTGGCTCCAGATTGCCCAAGATGGGCGCCTTAAGTGGCAACATCGGTGCTGGCAGTGTGAGTGGCAGCAGTACTGGCAGCAGTAAGAATTCTGCGACCACCAATGGCAACAGATCTCCCCTCAAGGCGCCCAAGAAGTCTGGAAAGCCACTGAATCTGGCCCAAAGCAACGCCGTCGCCAATTCGAGCTTGAGCTTCTCCAGCTCGCTGGCGAATATCTGCAGCAACAGCAACGACTCCAACAGCACCGCTACCAGCAGCAGCACCACCAACACCTCGGGTGCACCGGTGGATCTGGTCAAGTCGCCACCGCCGCCGGCAGGAGCGGGTGCCGCAGGAGCAGCCGGCAAATCCGGCGAGGATGCGGGCACTCCCATCGTCTGGCCGGCGTGGGTCTACTGCACCCGCTACAGCGATCGCCCCAGCTCAGGTGAGTCCATGTGCTTTCCAACTAAGAACTTCTATGAACTTTGTCAAGGGAAATAAAGTTTATTAAAATGAGTGTGGGTATTTTGCATAACAGTGTAGCTTATGTAGTGCTGCGCAAGGAGAAGTTGATGGTCCATCACCACGTCTGCAGTAATTGCAGATGCATCAAATTACTAGTACATGGTTGAGATTTGCTGCATTTTGCGAAGCCTGTGAAGCATCCGACGCACAGGATGTAGCTAGTCAGTCACTCTATCTCCAAACTCCATATCCAAACACACTCGAGCAGACGAGCTGTTGAGTGGTGGCTCATAAAGCGGTTGTGCAAACAGCGGCAGCCAAACCACAGCAACCCACAGCAACCCACAGCAACCCACAGCTCATTAGTTTGCCAACCACCGAAATGAAGTGAAGGGAGAGGCGAGGCACTCACCCCGAAGTGAAGTGTCTGCTCGAGTGGTTTTCATGTCCTTATGGCTTATGTAACATAACTTAAGCTCATTATGCCGCTCCCCCTCCTCTCTGTGTGTGTGTGTTGTGTGTGAAGTTGCAACCCCAACCCTCGGGAACAACCCCAAAACAATCTGCCAGCCATCGTGGCACTCTCATGAATTTAGTTTATGCCGCCGCAGGGAATTCGTAATCGTTTGCCTAATAATTTCATGGCTAAAATTTCTGGGGGGGCATTGAATGGGTGGGGGCTGTGCGCCCCATATGCTGAGCAGCCAGCGTTTATGGGGTGTCTTATTGCTGTTTGAACAAGCCATTTGGATGCCTTGATAGTTTTTGGCTAAACCCCTGGAATCTCGGGTGAGTCCATGGATCATGTGGTTCCAGCGGCGAGTGGAGTGTGATTTAAGCCACTTGAGCTAAGCAGCTATTTGTTAAGCTGTTTACTTTTATTAGCTTGTTAGCTAGTTCATTGCCAAGGGTTTACTTAACAGATTGAGTGCATTATCTTAACATATTATTGGCACACTATTAAACGCTAAAACCCTACTAGATTGTGCTGTTCCACAGAGCAGTTGACAATAGCATTATTCAATTATAATACTAGCTGCAAATGGTTATATGTAATTACGAGCGTTACTTCATCTTTAGCGGGTTAAGTCTAATAGCTTTATTAAGTATCATTGAACCAATTTGTAAGATTGCCGAGCTCAGCAGTTTAGCCACCGACGACAGTTTTAGCCAATTATCCACACGTTTTATAGATCTAAATACACAGCTTGATCGAAATTTCGTTGCAATGTGAGTAAATAATTGTAATACGCTACCTTATGCCAATTACACAACTCAGAAACACAACTTGCCCCAAAATAAACTCGGATCCGAATAATTCCCCGGCAATTTGCTCATTACGCTGATGGATGTCAAACCCATATTTACTTAGAGAGCTTTTGGGTTACTTAGGCTAACTGAATTCCCGAAAACGAACCGCCGAGTGCATAAATCTACGCTTTTGGGTGGGTTTTGTCGCGCTCGCTAATTAACTCGAACCGAATTTTGTAGCTCCCCGCCGCAGAGGCCGTCTCTTTCGCTCTGCAGTGGCCGTCTCGCTCGCTCCGGGGTTTTAAGGTGTGTTTATTGTTGTGGTGGCTTTTTCTCATTTTCTCAGTTTCATTTCAGCTAAGGTTTTTTTCCAGCCGCCTTTTTGTATAAATTTAGCGTGACTAAAACGAGATCTCGATCGCAGTGCGGTTCCATAATTTGAATGAATGTTGTAGGCGATGGCGTCGTCGGTCCTCCGATTCGGAATCGTTTTTTCGGAGTGGCTATATGGGCATTATATGGGCTATAATGGGCCGTATGGAGTTGGCTTGTGGCTGCAGCTGCTATGGCAAACAATGATTTAGCGTGAGATTCGAGCCAGTCATCTACAAAATCGGCGAATTAAAATGCCAGCTCGAATAAAAGTCATAAATTTGTTGCTTTTGAAAAATGAGTGCGGCCGTAGTTGGGAAAAATATTCAAAGTTTTTATAATCCCCAACAAAGGTGTTAATTTGACAAATTAATGCAACATATTCCGTGTGCGCGTAGGCGATTAAAGCAGTTGCCAAAAACGTACATTCGACAACAAATTAGTTAATTGCACTTAACGGCCATTTGTGGGCCACATGATATATGGCTAACATATGGCAAGTCGTCCGACTGCATATGTGCCGTCTATTTGTGCGCCATTTTCGATGCAGATTAATGACATTCTATTAAAATCACAAAAAGCATTTGATAATCGGTACAAGCTGGCGTTTAATCTTAATAATTGCCAGGCCATATTTTACGGGCTTTATTGGAGCACTAACATGGGAGAGGGAGTGGCTCTATTTACTGTTTTGATGTAGCAATTATTTATGATAGCCTTTTTGCGCGGTCGAAAGGATTAATCAATGTGTGCTCACAGTGGAGTGTTTTTTGCTAGGTCTTCCACAAAAACCGCACTTTTACAATAAACAATAATTAACTTACAGTTCTCCACATACGCAGTGTGCACTTTTTGCGCCTTCGTTGGCAAAAACGTAAAGTCATTTTATACAAAAAGTTCCCCATTCGGGCTGTATCATTGAAACCAACCTTAAAAAATGGTGAACCAACTATATTTAATTACGGCCTTGTTTAGTAAAAAATGTAAATGTAACAGTGGGTAAAAAATTTGAATGATCAGTCATATGCTACACATTTGTGTACTCAGACACGCCCACATCCGTTTTCACTGACCTATCTTTTACTTAACTTCTCAGCCCCCATCTGCAAGATAAACATTTTTGCTTGGAACCACTCAGATAGGACCAGATACTCACCTCTTCCTTCGAAGAACCCCCCTCTGACCTTTGCCGCTGGTTGCTGGTGGGCAATTTTCGCATTTGTCCGGCACTTTGAGCTCATTTAACCGGTAGCCGCGACAGCGCCAAGCGGGAAAACTAAGCGGGAAAGGGGCCGGCGGGAAAAGCGGAAAAATGGGAAAACGGGAGCGACAGCGCGATCGCCACTGAACCATTAAGTAATTTTCAATTTGCGCTGAAGACGCAGAGGAACAGAAACAACAACAACAAAACAACAATGACAACATAAACAAACGAATTTCAATTACACCGTCCTGCAATTACCCCCCTCATTTCCAGAAAAGCCTCCGATTTTCTCATCTCCGTGCTCTTGCCGTTGGAAAATTGCTGGAAAAGTTTCTTTGGCTGCGCTGCCTTTGCATGTTCTAAATGGGAAATTTACTTAGGAAATTGCTCCAAGCAAAAGAGGCGGGGGGGTGGTGGAGGAGCATTTTCGCATTTTCATCAGCGATTTTCCGACACTTTAGTACGTGCAAGTACTCCTTATATTTTTATCAACACGATGATTTTACATATGAGTGGATATATTGAGGAAAAACTGTCAATTCCATTAAATCTTAAATGGGTGCTTTTACTTCTAAGTATAAACCCACACTCAACACCCTATATTTTTTAATTTATGCAACCGGGCCAATTTGAGCCTGAAATTATTATTGGCAACCATCGAAGAACTCAATCAATGATAGCAGCACGAAAAGTTTCTTAGCCAAACGATTTTACGTCTGAAGTGCGCAATTTGCGTTGTTTATGACCCAAATGCATTCATAAATATGCGAGGCTGTCACGTCATATGATAATCACGATACCCAGACCCTCAAGAGAACCCGGCACCGCTTTTCCCACTCCCTTTGGCCGCCAAATTGAGCCATTGAGGAAAATACTTACCGGCCCATGTGCTGGCCGCTTTCCTGCCAAACACTTTAAGAAAGCTCTATCCGCGGATAGTGAGTGCTTAGATGGCTAAAACCATTAAACCAGCGCACTTTAAGCGCTCACTCAATCACTTTCTGGTGCTACGTCTCAGCGCTTATGTGGGTCAAAAGCAATCATAACTCGGGGGCAAGGAGATAGGTTGGTTGTAGGATAAGCCAAGCTGGGATGTGCCCATATCCAGGCCTAAATTACTGGGACCATGGAAGGTAAAGGGTCTCACGGAACCAGCTTATGAAAACTAACAAAGAATGTTAAAAGGTTTAGTTCAAAAAGGAAACTGCATCTAACAATTGGATAGCGCACAAGTGCATAACTGAATTAACTTGATGGACGCATTTTCCCGCAGTGCATGATGGGTGTTAGGTGGAAAAGGCAATGGCAATCAACGGCGGCGATTTATGAAGTGACAAAAATTAATTTCAACTGTTAACTTATCGCACAGCCAACGAGCAACACACAACAGCCGCAACAATAACAACAACGACCAGCGGCAGCAACTGTAACAGCAACTGCAACAACAACTAGCAGCGCCTTTTAAGGCTTTGGCAACTGCAACTGCCGCAACTGGAAAAAGCAGCCATGCGCCTTGGTAATAAAACTGTCAGTCGCCCCTGTGCCCCTTGCCCCTTGCCCCATATATATGTACAAATATATATGTATATGTACTTTTTTTCAAACCTGCGGCACGATAACAGCGGCAGCAGCGAAAAATGTCGTTTAAACTGTGACTGGACTGCTGACCGCATTTGGTTAATGCGAACTGAAACTGCTGCTGCTGCGGACAGTTGCATTTTCCGCTCCACAGTTAATATGGCCTCAAATTGGGCATCGTCCAGGCATTTTGTAATTGTTTTCGCATACCCTGGCCTAGAGCGAGGATGTGGGGTGTATTAGGCAGGGCAAGTGACGGGGCTGGAGCCAAGCCAGGCTTGAATCAATATTTTCCATGCTGCAGCTACATTCAGCAGTCGCATTGGTGCGCTTCGTCACTACGCGTACTGCAGGCCGCAGTGATCTTATCAACCCCAATGCTGCTTCATTTAAACTGGACCTATTATGACCTGGGAATTAATTCAATTAACTTAATGTCGCCAATCAGGCTAGGAACAGTTATAATCACCTGACAGTTAGGGTGTTAAATCTCTGTTATCCAAGTTACCCCAACCAGCTCAGGTTCGCCCAATTTCACACTCAATAGACTGAGACCTGCTTATCTATCATTTGAC